GTGTCCCCCCCAGCCCCTCCGGTCTCCCTGTCCAGCCTGTTGTTGTGACCAGTCCCATACCCATCCCTCTGGGTGGTGCATTAATTCTAGCCTGGATCCTCATTTCTCTATTTCAGCTCATCTAGTTGGACTGTGGGTATTTCTGTTTTTCAGAACTGTCACTTTGACTTAGAGAGAAAGATGACAGTCATTTGCAAAAACTAGCAGAGGGAGCCCAGTTGTTTTAGGGGCCAGGGGCCAGGTCTTTTCTCCCAGGAAGGAGGCTAAAGAGCCACAGCTCATGTGCAGGACCTCTCTACCACAGAAATACACCTATGTATCCCTGACCCATGGATACAGCATGCTTCCTGTGTCTATAGGAAAGCAACATCTCAGGTGGAAAGACTGCTTTAGAGACTTTTCTTGGCACTGCCCCATGACCTCTTTCTTTCTTCCCCAGGGCAAGCTCGCCTCCTTTTTCCTGTCTCGGTTAGATGCCTTGAACCCTCAGCTCCAACAGGTAAAGGGAAAGGAGAGGCACAGAGCCCAGGTGCTCATTATGGCTCATTCTTAGCCAGTATTTGTTGCAGCATTTGTATCCTCTTGCTTTCTTCCTATTAACATACACAATTACTGGCTTTTGTCTTCTTGGAAACTTCTGTCTCATTGTTCCTTGAGCTCTTGTTGATCTGTTTCTCTCAGGCATTGGTGGTATGGAAGACCCATGGCTGAGCTATTTCCTTTCTGACCAGCTTTCTGCCCTTTTTTTGCAGTTGGCCTGTGAGTGTTACTCCAGGCTGCCCTCTTTAGGTGCTGGCTTTTCCCAGGGCCTGAAGCACACAGAGAACTGGGAGCAGGAGCTGCACAGCCTGTTGGCCTCACTGCACAGCTTGCTGGGGACCCTGTATGAGGGAAAACAGACAGGCAGGGACTTTGTAGTCAGGAGACAGATGGGCTTCCATGGGCTGTGGCAGGAGGGGACAGGAGGGTGGTCCAGAGAGGCAGGACAGTGGGTTTTGGGGCATCTGGGATGAAACAAGTGATGTACCACAAATGAGAAAGATGGGGGCCGGAGTGGAGATGGTGCTGTGGTTCAGAACATTGACTGCTCTTCCAGAGGATTGGGCTTTGAGTCCCAGCACCCACATGGCAGCTCACACAAATGAAAAAGGAGGGATGGGAGAAAGAAAGATAGAGTGTACAGATGGTTGTGTTGCTGCCCAGACCCTGTGCAGAGTGAAGGCCCTGGAGTAGAGATGCTGCTTTCCCAATCAGAAGATGGTAACACTCATGTCCTCCTCCAGCTTCGGCAGAGGTTTTCAGGACTGGCCCGTTGCCTGGGGCTCATGCTCAGGTGTGTAGGTATTGGAGGGAATGGTCTTAGGGCTGGAGAAGTTGAGGTGGGTGTGTGGAGTCAAGCTCCACTGCTTGGTGGAGTGCTCAGAGCAGGGGTGACTGCTCTGAGATTCTCTTTGGTCTGGTTCTCTAGCTCCGAGTTTGGGGCCCCTGTGTCTGTTCCTGTTCAAGAGATCCTGGACCTTATCTGCCGGATCCGTAGCATCAGCAGCAAGAATATTGTGAGTGGACTTGGTCTTCATTGTGTAGCCTTGCTTAGGGCCCTGGGCACCTGAACAACACCCACACTGTCATCTCTGAAACTGTGTCCCTGACACATGTGCGACTGTCAGTGGGCTTGTTCACACAGTGCAGAGCCACCTGTGGTCAGTGTAGAGAGTGCATTTGGGGATGAGCCACAGCATTGTTGAGGGGTTTGGCTATCCTCTTCTGCAGGATGGGAGACAGGTTTGGGTTGAGTTGGGACAGGGAGTGGGTTCATGTTGTACAGTCTGATACACCTGCTGTCTTTGTATCTTTCTCTGGTTCTCCTTTTCTTTTCCATCTTACTTTGGCTGAATTTTCTTCTAGAACTTGCTTGGAGATGGTCCCCTCAGGCTGCTACTGCTGCCTTCTATCCACCTTGAAGCCTTGGACTTGCTCTCTGCATTGATCCTTGCGTAAGTGGCACTGGTCATAGTGTGGAGAAGGGAATGGATATACTGGAAATGAAGGCCACTATTCCCTCCTCTGCCCCCAGGTGTGGAGGCAGACTCTTGCGCTTTGGGGCCCTGATCATCCGCCTGCTTCCCCAGGTCCTCAATACCTGGAGCACTGGGAGGGATACTCTGGCTCCAGGCCAGGAGAGGCCTTACAGGTGATTGTGTGGGAAGGGATAGAGTGGAGAGGGTGGCGAGGACACATAGGTGCCCCAGGGGCTCGGGCACGTCCGTCCTCTATTGACAGTCTGCTTTCCCTGCTCCTACTGTAGCACCATTCGGACCAAGGTGTATGCCATCTTAGAGCTGTGGGTGCAGGTTTGTGGGTCCTCAGCAGGTATGCTCCAGGGAGGAGCCTCAGGAGAGGCCTTGCTCACCCACCTACTCAGTGACATCTCTCCACCAACGGATGCTCTTAAGGTGAGTGAGACCTTGGCTCTTGGCCTCCCAGCTCCTGTGCCTGTTTCCTGACTGCCCTGACTTCCTGTTTACCTTTACTTGTGACCGTGTTTCCTTTTATCACAAGCTGTGCGCTACCAGGGGAAGCTCCGATGGAGGTTTGCCAAGTGGGAAGCCAAGTGCCCCGAAGAAGCTAAAGCTCGATATGGGAGAAGCTTTGGCTCCAGCAAGCCACAGGAAAGGAGATAGGAATGCTAACAGTGATGTGTGTGCAGCCGCACTGAGAGGTGGGTTGAAGTGAAGTGATAAGCTAAAGCCAGTTGGCAAAGTAGAGCGTGCAGGAGTGGAGACCGTCAGTACGCTTCTGTCCTGCATTTAGATTGGGAATCTGGTAGTTTTTCCTGATCTTCCAAGGTCTCGGTTTAGTTTATTCAAACACTTTACATATGCACTGTGTGTGGCAGGGGCAGTACAAGCACTTGGGGAATCCATGGCTCCATGCCAGTAGAGTTCATGTACCCTGTAGAGCAGGATGCTGTGGGGATTGCCTGAGTCCAGTGCATCTGGGAATGTAGCCACAAGTTAAGTGGGTGCCATGCAGTTAGTCAATAACTTTCCGGTGGGTCTCATATATTCGTACTTAGTGTTATACTGTTGAGGAGAGTCCAGGTCTCCTCAAGTATACAGATAGACATTGATGATGTCTTACTGCACTATCTATCATCCCCATTTTATACCTGTGGAAGAGAACTGAGAGGGTAAAGGCCTTGCCCAGGGTAGGCAGTGGCAGAACTGGGTGCCCCTGTTGGCCTATGTGCCTTTGCATTTCAGTCTGCCTCTGACATGCTATTCTATTCTCAGGCCTGAGCCGGACCATCCTCATGTGTGGGCCTCTCATCAAGGAGGAGACTCACAGGGTTAGTGGAGATGACCCTCATGGAGCCTGGGGAGGGGTTACTGCTCTGTGCACTTGGGGAGTATTTACCTCAGAGGTGGGCCTATTGAAAGCTGGGAGCAAGGCCCTGGCCTTGGAGGGTTGGGTGGTCTTGGTGACATTTCTAGACTCATTGTTTGCTTTTCAGAGACTTCATGATCTAGTCCTGCCCCTGGTCATGAGTGTCCAGCAGGGTGAGGTTCTAGGTGGCTCCCCTTACAACAGTTCCTGCTGTCGCAGAGCGCTCTACCGCCTGCTACTGGCTTTACTGCTGTCACCTTCCCCTCGCTGCCCACCTCCTCTTGCCTGTGCCCTGAAAGCTTTCTCTCTTGGCCAATGTGAAGATAGTCTTGAGGTAATTGCTGACTGGGCCAGCTCTTTCTTTGATTCCTGGGTTTTTATTCTGATGCTTGCCTTGTGAGACC